AAAAAACATGTTTCTCTTAAAATTTATATCTTATGAGTTACGCTCGAATAAATGAACAAATGCCTATAGCAAATCATTAATTATTTCACATTCAAGCTTTAATTAACTGGGCTTTTTGCTGTATATAATGTAAAAAAGTAAAAAATACGCAGAAAGTATTATAAATAGAGCCATTAGCTAGCGCTTACTTCACTTTTAGTTTATAAAGCTCAGCTGCAATTCGACTGTTCAATACTCCTAATTCCAGCTACCTCTACTTTTATTTCGCGAAACAAAGAAACATGTTTTTTTTACGATCCAAGGCTGTTGAACTGCCATGCATTCTAAAATAAACTTCCCACTTACAGTGTGCACAGAGCTGGGATCACGCAGCCAGGCGTTGTACATCTCCTCCACGTAGGATGCGGTGCTGCCATTGGCAAAAGGTTCTGCAGCCGCTGAATTGTAGGTGCGCACAGCAGATGCTGCGCTGGCCTTGATCAGCTATTGAATAATCAAATGATTAGATTAATATATATACACACATTTAAATAAATATATGTTTTTTCGCTTACCTTCTGACTGCTGCTGCTGTTGAGCAGCCATGTGGCAAAGTTTTTATGCGCCATGGGCGATAACGCCAGACTAAAGGCCGTGTGTGCTCTATGCATTTTGTGGTTTTACAAAATATAACTGCAAAAGGAAAAAGAAATTTTAATAGAGAGCATATTAATAGACTCTTACACGCAATAGGCCTGAGAGCATGACACTTGCTCTATTGATAAGGCAATTACAGCAACAGCTTTCAATTAGGCTTCACTGAGAGCTTGTTTGTTGACAAATAGCTAATGTAAAACTTGTTGCTGTTACTATTGTTGTTGTTGTTGTGTTTGGACAAGTGCTATGCAGTCAAGGCAGCAAGGCGACAGACAGTAGACAGTGAACGTATTTTGTAAGCCTGATAAGATAATGCACAGTCCGGCGTAAGAAAAGTGACAAGTGAATATATATAGTGCCAAAATGTATGTTTGGCTTTGACGTCATTTCACGCAAAAAAAACCGCAAACTTGTTGCCAACTAATGGTGATTATGAAAGAGAAAACAAGTTAACAAAGTCTATGATTAATGCAAATACATACATATGTGCATGTAAATGTATGTGATAAAGTCTAGACTGCTGGCCAGACCAGGGTTATAGCTATAGATATAGCTATATCTCTCTGTTTGCCTTTCTCGCTCTCTCGGTCAGACACGTGACCCAATCTGAGTTTCTGATGACGTTTCAATGAGAAGACGTAGGTTGCTTGACGTTCGCTCGGTTTGCTTTCGCCTATTTGATAGATAGCCAAAAAAAAAACCAGTCATCTGCACTGTGGTGAAATGTTGTACATATGTATTATATAGATAAACATATACATAAGTGTATATATTTATAATTTTTTCGGTTTGTTTCGGTTCTTTTTTTCTGTTTTTCAGTTTTTTGTGCTGCGCAATTGTCAGCCTGACTGATAATTTTGTGAAATAACAATCGTATATCATTTGCTTTATTTGTCTGGCCTGGTTGAGAAGAAATCGGATAAGATTAACAATATCAACCCCCAATACCAGCCCCCCATACGTTATCTAAAGCCAAGTAGAAGAAAAGTGCGTTAAATGGAAAACGTTTCGGCACTCGCATTTGCAAATGTTTCAATTAATTAATGAAATTCAATTTTGAGACCTGATAAGCCAGGCGAAACGCGTGCGATAGGCGTGGCAACAGAGGCAAGCCCCGAAAGTCAGGTCACATGCGCTTATCAGCGACGCGTGGTTTGATTTGACTTTAAGCTCGGGCTCTGTGTCTGGGCACATAAAACATCATTTAGACCATTGAACAGCCACTCGAATTTGTCAGCGATTACCGCACACAAGCACACACACGCACACACACACATTATGTGGGTTAAACATAGTACATTGCATATGTATAGGAAACCCGGTTTAGTGTGGCGGTCACCAAACGCTCACATAATCGCTTAAGAGGTATTTGAAAGTGCAGCAAAGCAAACGAAATCGATTGTAATTAGTTCGCCAACGATAGTTGCATCTCTTTCTAGCATTAGCTTTGCCAATGTCTGAGTGTGTTTGCTTTGGTTTGTGTGCCGTTATTTATCTGTTTGCTGATTTTGCTTTATTTTTCACATACAAAATGTATTTTTTTTTTTTTGTTTTATTCGGTTTCTTTGCAATTCCTTTTTGTCTGTCGCACAAACAACGTCGACGTCGACGTCAACGCCGACGGTAACGTTTCGGTTACGAAAACTGATTACATAAGTGCAAAAAACTCGCGTGAGAGCCAGCTAAATAGAATGCTGTCATATATTTTATAATGATAGCGTAACAATACATATATGTACATATATATATGTATTTACTGCTAATTAATATTATATACAAAAATATATTTATAGATGCTTTAATGACAATTTAATGCTACATTTCCGATTTGAAAATGCCCTGTTACTTTTTTATATGAATAATTATTAAAGTACTGAGTTCTTTAATTATGCGTAACTGACGAAAAATTTGCTTTCGGAATGAAAAACGAACGGAATATATAAGATATTTACTCGTCACGTCGTATCTGAGAGATACGCTGCCAAACGGTTTGTTCGTGTTGAGTGCTACGCGTCGACTAAACGTTGAGGCGCAGAGCAGCCGAAAGATTACCCAGACCTCAAACTGTATGCAGCGAAGAGAGTAGAAAACAACACTCGAAACATTTTTGTAGAAATCGAATTTTTGTTGTTGTTTTGTATACGTTGGAACGAAACGTTAGAAAAACACAATCAGCGATAAAAAGGCACATGACAGCGCAAAAAGCAACTAAGCTAGATATAGATAAAAGTGCCTATAGACATACATATATTCGAATAAATATAATTATATCTCTGTGAGTATATGTGTGTGTAAAAGGGGCCAAGCGCATACTGATAATAATCACTTATCGTACTTCAATATGCCCTTATCAAATAGCCAACAGACATCTATATATAGATAAATATGTGTATGCGTCTTTAGGTTCCAATTTCTAGCGACGGATTTTGTTTACAATCATTCCAAAGTCCGCTCTACATTCTCTACATTCGTCACCCTTTGAAATTGCCCGCCTAAGCTTAAAAGAAAGAAAGCGACTGAGAGAGGGAGAGAGAGGGCGGGTCCGAGCGGGTACTATCGCCGTATGTTATAACTATGCAGGTATATTAATCAAAGTTGATTAAACTACATATATATTTGTGCAGGAATCTATCTATACATGTAGGCGCCTATCGTGCTAATCAGTAAAAATTTCAAGTTCAAATGCGCATTTTGCCAGCTGCTTTTGTAGGCAATGAGAAATATGTGCGCTAGCCATGACACAAACCAGCTGGTCTGACCAACTGCAGCTGCAGCGGCAAGTGGAGACTAGACGAGCCCCCAAACTTGAAAGAGAATTGGAGAGTACAATCGCACATGCAAAACAACTTCAGTTGAAAGAGGACGACTCTGACACTCACACACACATACGCATACACATACAACCGCTGGCATTTGTAATTTGGCAGACCGCGTGCGTTCATTGAGCAACACCAAATAGAGCTGAGTCGGTGACTTGATTAATCACGCTACCTGTTGCTATCATTCACAGTGACAAGCAATAACAATCCATATAATTGTTGCGCATCTCCAAAAAGTGAGAGAAACCAATACTGAACACAAAAAAATTCTGATTATGCTGCCGCTCTTTGCGCAAAACGAAAGGAAGGAACAACAGTAGTAGCAGTAGGAACAAGCACGACAATAAATGCTTTAAGCATGGTGATTCACGGGCACAAAAAGCACACGCGGCACTCAGCGACTTGACTAACGCAGAATTGCGTCATCATTGCAATATTCACAGACGATTTTTATGAAAACATGTGACGTAGATTGGCCGGCAGTTCAACCAATTGAGAAATTTCACTTTTTCTAGATTTTAAGAAGGCGCACGCGCAAAAAACAAACGCCCACTTGCATTATATAAGCTTTCTACATTGAGGGCCAAGGAAAATTATTCCTAAAATTGTATCATTGCACTTGAAATTATGGTTTTCCATTCCAGTTCACTATTTTAACAGGCTTGCAGCAAAATTTGTGGATGTTGCTCAAGTTTCACAGTTATTCCACGAATTTGACCTCAATTGGAAGAATGCTTGATTTGAATCGAAATTGAGGAGTGGTAGTAATATATACTTTAAAGGGTGTAGTAGCAGAATTTTAACTGTGTTATTTTTCTATTTTGCACAATTTTTTTTCACTTTTTTCAATTAATTATAATTATTACTTTTTCGTACGATCCAGCTCCAAACAACTCGCGTTCCAACTCGCGGCCCAGTGTGACCGTATGCAGATAATGCGAATACACCACATTAAAAATATCGATTTAATACTAGAAAAAAGAGTCACCCTGTTCAATGGCGCTACATTTCTTTTGAACTGAGGAATATAATAGAAAACTAACAATATAATATAAAGATGATTGATTAATAATTAGTTGATAATATTTAAAAATTAAATTGAATTCGTTATGCATTGGGCTTCTTTTGGCAAGCTCACATATGGTAAACTATGCATACTAAGAGAAACACTAGCGCCATCTAGCGCTTGTATACAAAAGTGCAATCACTTGCTAGCAACACACAATAGATGACGCTAGTAAATTACAGAGATTTAAAACTAAAAAGCCAAGAAACACTAAAAATCATCTAATTCATTAATCATAATAATTCTTTAATGTAAACTGAATTTTTTATATATAATAAATTAAATAAGAATTTATGCGCATTTTCTGTTATGGCACATTAAAGCACGGTAAACATTTTTTAGAAGCGCTCTTCCTTTATAATAATTAAATAGCTTTCAACAATATGCAATAAACGAAGCTGGCGAAGATGATATAATCTTCAGACTAACTTCAAAAAATACTTATACAACTAGCCAACATTTAGTTATTTAATGCCCACTTAATATCTACTATATTGATCCAGGCAATATCCTGTTATCTGATCTGATATGCAGTCAAACACATCGAAGGCCAAATCGCAGCTTTCGCCTTTCTGCGGGAGATCGCGACGACTCACTTGATATTTATTGGTCATGGCCCGCAGACAGAGATTAACGGATCGCAATGTGGCCATAAAAAAGCCGTGCTCATGTACGCCTTCCGAGTAAAAGCCAACCAGTCCGTCCAGCGTCGGCCAGCCGTTCTTGTCAATGGCGTTGTTCCTCGCATAGACACAGTGAAGCAGACACTGAAAAGAAAATTACAATAAAAGAAAACCCATACACACACACATACACAATCAAAAAATGTATTCGTAAGCCGCATTCAATTTGCTGATGCATAAAAAGCAGCTAATGTGTATTAAATGCAAACATAAAATCCAATTTTCAGTCATCAAATTTAGCGTGCGGTGTGAGAACAAAAAGTTGCAACTGCAACAGCAACGACAACGACAGCGGCTGCAACTGCGCTTTTCTTTCAATTGTCTAGCTTCAGCAGCAACCCTGACTTTTATAGACTGTCTACAGTGGGAAGATGGGTATATTGGGCTTAAGGAATTTCAGATTAACAACTGAATTTTGCAGCTGGAAATCAAAAAAGCGATGGGCTTTGTTATTCTCCGTTATTCAAATCTACTGTGATTCATTTTAGTTTTCCTTGCTAAACTCTACAAAAATATCTTCACTGAAATTTTATATTCTTCAATTTCTTTCATAGAGAGGTTTCTAGGCAGTATATCACCCGTTGGCTATACCCGATTGCCAAATTCGTACATGCTTTTAATTGCACACAGCAAATCAATGGCAAGTGGCGTTTGTTGCACTTCGTCTGTTCTGCCATTGAACTTAATTGCCGTAAAATCTGTTGGGAGTTAATGAAAAGTCGAAACCGAAGTACTTACGCCCGCTATGCGTTTATCTTCGAGTGGCACCAGCGTGGGATGATAGATGCCCGCACTGGCCACGTCCAGACGCTTGATACTGCGCACGAGCCGAGCCATGCGACGTCGGGGCTCGGGCTCATCGTAGACAATGTACTCATAGCGGCTGGCATTGGGTGGCGCCTCTTCGGAGCTGTGCTGTAACTGTATTTCGCTGTGGACGGGTGGCCAGTCTATCGACTCAATGAACTCCACGCTGTCATCGTCCGTATGCAGTGGTGGCTGCACCTGTGACACCTGCTCCTTGAGTATCTCATAGGCCTCTATTGGAGTGCGTTTTATATCACTCAGAATGGCATCAGGCATCAGTTTTGAGGCTTACCTGTAACCAGCTTATTCTTGACCTCCTCTTGACAGTCCCTGATCACCGACTCCACTCGCCTGGCCGTGCGTGGCGGGTTCAAGCAGCGCTTCTTCTTCGCCTCATAGCGTATCACATACTCCAAAGACGTAATGGATGCTATTACGCCTAGCATATGCAGAAGTTGTGTAATTTTCATGCTGCTTTGATTGATGCGCTCTAATCGAACTGAACGCCTCGGCCACTCACAGTCTATTGACTGGCTGGCAAAATTTTCAAATGAAAACGAAAGCATTTTCACTTTCCCGAGAAATTACAGGATTGCTGGCTGATGGCCTTCCTCTCGATTGCAGCTGCTGGCTGTTGTTGCTGGCAGTGAAAACGCATATGAATTTCCAGTTTTGCTCTATGGGTATGTGGTTCAATGGCAATAACTGCAACAACAACAACAACAGCAACAACAGTTGCAACTGGTTGCACATTTCCCATGCGTGCAATTGCCTCCAAATGTTTCATTCATTCAGTCAACAACTTGTCCTTAACGGCGTTCAGTGGCGTCGATTGTTTCATTTCCATTGTTTCAACCATCAACTGCTCATATTCCATTTCAATTCCACATTGCTGCCTCCCCCATTGCTGCTCCATTTGACTGCACAACTGGTCAATAGATGGAGCCAAAAACTCTTCCGCATACCAAAAATTAGCATATTCAACTAGAGTAAATGGAATTCGTACTAAACTCTAATCAAGATATGAGTTCGCACACACATTTGGACAGCTTGTGGGTCAGTAAATCATGAGCAGCGAACCAAGATGCCACGTTTGTGTCTTAAGTCTTTCGAGCTAGCTGCGCCCTCTGCCCAAAGTTCTAATCAAAATGTTTGACATATTTTGCTGCTGCTCTTTGTAAGACAGAGAACAATGGCCAATAACTAGTTTTAGCTTCGGCACTCGCTAATTGGACTCATTAAAAAAGGTTGGATAACCATTTTTTTCGGTTTGGGCACATCCTAGGCGGAAATTGTGACTACAGCCGCACAGTGGAGCACTTTGCATAAGAATTATTTCCCCAAAACGTATGAGCGAGAATATCAAGTGTGTTTTAGGTCTATCTTTAGGTCTATCTATGTTAGCTATTTCGACGAATGGCCCCACAGTGCAAGTGTTTGGACTACAGAGCGGCTAGACTCTTCCTGCCCTGGCCAAGGCGTAATTGCCTTTAATTGCAACAAGACGAAAAGAAAATTGCAGCTAAGACACTGACCTAGACTCCGTAGCGCTGCGAATTTATAATGGCCAAAGATGATGGAGGCGTGGCCAAACTGCAAATTGCCCGCTCAGCCAGCGGCAGGTTCAATGCACAGGAAATGCTTGTGGCATAGATCACGTGCAACCGAAGAAATTGTCAACGAGCAGGAAGCCAAAGCACGACACAACAACAGCCGTAGAACTAATTGACAGACAGAGAGACAGGTGGACAGCTGGACACGACTATTCTTTCTATTTTGTTGCCAATCTTCTCCTGTTCTGCAATTTACTGAACAAGGCGCACTCGACAAGGCATTGTTGGCCAAGCAACGGGCATGCAGCTTACAGCTTGCAGCTAGCAGCTGGCAGAACAATCCACTTGCGTGTCCATCATTAGAACAAATTCTCTCACCTGCAATGTTTCTGCTCACCCTTCGCTCTCCTCCCCGACTCTCCTCTCCTCTCTCATCGCTGACTGTTTGTCTTGTAACGCAATTTGCACACAAATGTTGTTTTCATCTTCGTGGCTTGCCACTTTTGTGGGTGGGTGGTCAGGTGAGACAAGTGGCAGCTGCTTTTGCTGCTGCTACTGCTACTGCTGCTGCCGAGTTGAGCTTAGCTGGCCACCGTTGGCTGCCTCGCCTGAGAATCGTATTTAAATACAAAGATCTAACGCTCTGGCGCATTCAGTCGCCAGCCGTCGTGTTGTTCTTGTCGCTGCATTTCGTGCTTCCATTATACAGCTAGCTACCTGTACCAGTGTCCCTCTCTGTGTGTGCGCGTGTGTGTTTGCAGGATGCGCGTCTAATTGGCGTTTCTAGTTGTTTAGCCCAGCTGCAAGCCATTTGAATTGCTAAATTTATGGAAATGTTGCGCCTGCTTTGGCTTTTATGCGCTGCATTTGGCCATTTCAGTGATCCTGTCTTAGCTGAAATCGAATTTAATACCATCAATGCCGATGGATCGTTTCAATTTCGGTATAGCCCAATATACATATATTGTGAAGAGAATTGCAAGACAATTTTTAAGAGATATTTTTCAATAATATTAAGTATAAATAATAAATAGTTTCTTAAAATTCTACCAAATGTGAAAATGGGTAAAACTTTGATCAACAATGATGGAAGAAGGAGATATATGAATAATTATTTGAGAAAATCTTCCAAATTTATGTGGAAGAATAAAATATTAATATCAGTTACATTATTGTTATTATTATTCATAAATACTAGTGAAATTACCACATATTCCGGACTACTCTCGTATGCTTCGGTTATGCGTTTTGAGAAATGATGCCACTGCTTCGAGCGACAGATGAGTTTTAAGAAGAAATTAGGGAATCAGAACAAAACGAAGCTTCAACCTTGCTTGATTATTAGGTTCGTTCACAAAATGAGAAGGGAATATAAGCTTGCAGCTATGTTGATTACTATACTTATTCAACTGACAGTTCTCCATTCGTAAGTCCCTCTGGATAGAAACAATGGAGAAGAATAATTACTGTATAATATTATACTCCACTGCTTTGTATATTTCATTAGAAAGTGTGTCAGTCAATGATCTTACAAAATATTTAAATTTGTTGTTTGCCAAAAATACATATGCATATCTATATTTATAAATATATATCTAATAATAAATATTTCAGTTCTTATAAACATTTGCCCAACGCGTTAAGCATATTTAGTCTATAGCTCATTTAGTCTATAGTTTTTTACACCTTAGCTCAGGTAAAGTTCGTATCACGCTCTGGCTCCTTTTGCCAGCTTTAACACCTCTTTTAATGCCATTTTGCAATGACAACAACACGTATATGCTGACTAACTGTTTGCTGTGTATTATTCTACCTATCTCTCTCTCCCTCCCTCCATCGCTGTGTATCTCTTTCTGACTTACCACGCATGGGCAACATACGCAATTACTGTTTTGGATAGACATGCAAATGATGACATTGGCGGCTACTATCACAGCGCCTCTGGCACTCCGGACAACATCGTGCGAGGTCGTTATGGTTCGCGTAGTCCAGCGAGCGGACAGATCGAAGAGACCGTCTATACAGCCGGACCACGTGGGTGAGTAAGCCGAACTCATAAACAAGATGAAGAAGAAGAAGTAGGAGGTGGCTGGCAGTTGGCTAAATTAAAGTGTGGTAGCCAAGTTAAGTTATCTGCTCGGTCTCGTATATCAGCGATACGACAGGTGCGAGCGGGCGTAGCGCCACTGAAGCGTGCCAAGGGGCCAGGGGAGGGCTTCACACTCAGAGTCGCTTCTAAAAACATTTAAGATGCGCATATACGGCGGCCAGGGGAAGTACAAACAGTAAAAAACGTTCAACTGTTGCTGCTGTCGGTTGCCTAAACGTTTGTTGTTGCCGTTTGCTCGATACAATTTTGAACTGTTTTGTGGCAATCTCCGGTAGTTGGGAAAACAAACAAATGAAACAGAAGACGAGATCAATCAGTAACGACTGCGCGATATTCGTTCATGTTTCCAAAACAGTGGATCTGTGGTTCTTTTTATAGAGAGGGTCAGCAGCAAGCCGAATACTGTAGAACATAGTAGTTGTACAGTCATACAGAACCTACTAGTAAACCCTATATACTCATCTTCTCACTTGCCGAACGAATATACAAAAAGCCGTTAACAAATTGTAAGCGAAACATGGCAATCGGAAAATTCATTAAGATGCACAGACGAAAGATAAAAAGTAGAATGGAAATTGATAGAGAATACCCGGCGAGACATGTGGCAATAGCAGACGTCACCCATTCGATTGCCACGATTATCAGATAGCATTCAGAATTGTGATTGCTTATGGGAGCAGGCGAGCGATTTTAGCAGTCAGCCCGACCGTTACCCAATCTGGCATCTTGATTCCCAGCGCAATTAGCTAATCATAGTTCAGCAGCTAATTGAATGTCGAATTTTTCACAGCTTTCGCGTGAATGGACCGAAAATACATCGTAAAATGGATTTGGCACAGTATCCGGTACTTCCACGTGGCAGTCCCGATGATCCCCTCGCCGATCCGTACGATGATCCCTCCTACAGCTTCAGCTATCGCACGCCGGATCAGTCTCGCAGCGAGGAGAACGATGCCAATAATAGAATAAGAGGTAGGTATAGTAAGCTGTACAAGAACTTCTCAGTTATGTCTTGACTCTTTCATTCAGGTCTCTATTCCTATTTGGATGACGTGGGCGAGCGGCACAGCGTGCGTTATGCAGCTGGCGCGGGAACGGGCTTTGAGATCTCCAATGCGGTACCTGATAATCCCGTTAGTGTCAGCTACTCCAGTCCGCTGTACAAGGCGCATCCCAAGACTCGTGGAAAAATGTCCGTGCAGCGGGGTCCTGCGGGCACCTACAAGCTGATTGCAGCTGGTCCGGATCATCGACGTGCCGAGAGTCGTGCTCCGGATGGAGTGGTGCGCGGTACCTACTCCTTCCTGGACGACAAGGGTGTGCAGCGCACTGTGGAATATATAGCTGGGGCGGGCATTGGCTACCGAGTGGTGAAAAATAGAGTGGGACCTGGCACTCATATAAATCCCTCCGTTGCGGACTTTCGACTAAGCGACACAGATTTCCGATTGGCTAACGATTTTGGTAGGGGAGCGGGCGGAAAGTTGGGTGGAGGTAGTGGTGGCAGTGGGAGCAGTGTTGGTGGTAGCGGCAGTGGTGCCAGCGGTATTGGTGGTTCAGGAACAAGTGGAGGTAGTGGACCAAGTGGAGGCGGGGGTAGAGGGCGAACTAATGGCGGTGGAGCTGACACCGATTACCTAAAGGCTGGAGGAAAGATAGATGTCAGAGTAACTGGAAACGCATTAGATAATGCTGGAGATGACATTGAGTTGAGCATTAGCTCCAGTGGATCCGCAACTGCAGATGGAGTGAAGTCTGATCGAAGAGGATATGCGGCAGGCAGCTCGCAAAGAGGCAGCACCAGGTATGATGGAGGTGGTGCAAATGGAGGCGGATCTGGTGGAGGCAAATATGATGGAGGAGGCGGTGCTGGTGGTGGGGGAGGCGGAAGAGGCAGATATAATGGAGGAGGAGTAGGAGGCAGAGGCGGAGGTGGCGGTGGAGTTGGCGGTGGAGGTGGTGGGTACAGAGAGACGAGCTCTGCAGGCAGCAGAAATCGAGGTGCCACCAGCACGAATCGCCTCAATGCAAGTGGATCAAGAAATCGCAATAGATTTAGTGGGGCTGGCGGAGGTGGAGGAGGAGGTATAGGTGGTTTAGCATCCGGTGAAGGCATAGCCACTGGATCAGGCAGTGCAGCTAGTGGACCGGATGACAATTACAATCTGAATGATGATGATGTGGGTGGCTCTCTGCCGCCGTTGGTGACCACCAATCATCGCATACTGGAAATCGACCGGGATCGAGAGTGGGTGCAACGACATCGCGACTCCACGATCATTAGGAATGTGGGTAAATGGTATGTGGGTCTGCCTCCAGGTCAAAGTGTCCGAGCCCATGTGCAGAACATAGACATTCTGCCACTTGGCGGCCGAGTCGCATTGTCACCATCGGAGGCACTGCGCCAAGACGAGATGGCCGAGCTGGCCGCCTCTAGGGAGCACTAGAAGGCAGTAACTAGTTGTAGTTGGATAGCTGATAGTTGTTAGTTAAGTAAGTGCTCGCAACTAAGATAAGTAACTGAAACGATGTCAGCTGCGGTTGCGCGTAGTTTCAGCTGTAACTGTAACTGTAACACTATTTATGCTAAATACATAATACATTTGTGCGTGTCTATGCCAAGTGGTTGCTCATTGTGGTTACAGTGGGTTATATATAAAGAAGCACTCAGTTGTCTTCACTTTCAGTCTTTAGAATGAGCCGCCGATTGTTGCATTCGCTGCATTTGCTCTACCTGAGCAGCTGGCTGTGCCTGGTGCAGGGCGCACAGGTTTACATGGAGTTGAATGGCCAGAGCTACTCTTACAACACGGACGTTGCTGTGCAAACAAATGATCTGTCACCCAACTACGAGATACCAGCTGCATACCAGCAGCAGCAGCAACAACAACACCAACGCCAACAATCCCAGCAATGGCCATATGCCAGCACGCAATCGTTATCCCGGAATGCCAAGTGGGGCTGGCTGCAGCCTGCAGCCGCACCTCCACCTCCACCAGCACCGACACCTCCACCAGCACCTCGGCAGCCACAGAATTTTGATTTTAGCACTCAACACATGTCCCACAGCCAGCACACGGATGACTCTGGCATTGTGCTAGGCAAATATTCATACTACGATGATGCAGGCTATCACGAGCTGAGCTACAAGGCGGGCCCCGGCATTGGATTCGTCGTCATGGGCGGCAATTTGGCCAAGCCAACGGAACAAACAGCCAACAACTTGCATGGCTATTAATCTATGAGTTCGTACGCCTTAGTCTCTAAATAAATAAAATCAAATGCAGTTCGACAATTTCCTGAACTTGGGTTTATGTCAACATAAAGACAATCGAAGCTAGCGGCATTACGTGCATTGCCAACTTAACTAAAGTAATATTGGCTTTAGTTATAGTTAAACATTTAAAGCCAACTGAAGGTAAATGTCGTTTGCTTTTGTCTGAATTGAAAACGGGAGTTTGACAAAGAAGAAAGAGGATTTTATACTGATGAGGACTATGAATCAAGGCAGCTGCATGACAAAAGCTGAATGCTACGATACTCGATGGAAGGTACATTAAAGATAAAGGCAAAATAATATGAAGCTTGTTGAAATTGATTGATTGATCCACATTGGTCACGAAGTAATCATATCATTCACAGAAATGATTATGAAACTGTCCTCAACTCTTCTAGAGAAACTTGAAACTTGAGTTATGGCAGCTGCATGACAAAAGCTGGATGCTACGATACTCGATATAAGGCACATAATTGCCAAAGGCTAAATAATTTAAAGCTAGTGGAAATATTGATCCTCATTGCTCACTAAATAAAAAACATAATCATATTATTCACAGAAATGAATCTCTTAGTTTAGGTCTTTTAGCGAACTAATGGTCGAAGCAAAATGTTCTGAGACTGCATGACAGAAGCTGAATGATATGACACTCGATGGATGGTACATCTACGAAACTTGTGGAAATATTTATCATAGCTTGCTCATTAAACAAAAGGCATAGTCTTATCATTCGATTATGAAACTGTCATCAACGCTTCTAATGAATGGGAAGAAAATTTGAGTGAAAGGGACAAAAACTTGAGTGAAGGCAGCTGCATGACAAAAGCTGAATGCTACGAAACTCGATATAAGGTACATCAATGCTAAAAGCTTAATAATTTAAAGCTAGTGGAAATATTGATCCTCATTGCGCACTAAATAGAAAACATAATCATATCCCTCACAGAAATGAATCTTTTAGCGAATCTCTTCTAGCGAATTAATGGTCGAAGCAAAATGTTCTGAGACTGCATGACAGAAGCTGAATGATATGACACTCGATGGTTGGTACATCTACGAAACTTGTGGAAATATTTATCATAGCTTGCTCGTTAAATAAAAATCACAGTCTTATGAATGATTATGAAGCTGTTCTCAACTCTTCTAGTGAATGGGACGAAAATTTGAGTGAAAGGGACAAAAACTTTAGTGATGGCTGCTGCATGACAAAAGCTGAATGCTACAAGACTCTATGTAAGGCACATCAATGTCAAAGGTTAGATAATATCTGGTTAGTGATAATATGAAGCTTTTGTAAATAGTGATCCTCATTGCTCAAGAAATAGAAAGCATAATCATATCATAAACATCACTAAAATGAATATCCTCTTAACTTAGGTCCTCTATCGAATTTATGGCCAGAGCTAAATGCTCAGAGACTGCATGACAAAAGCCTTATGAATGATAAACGAATTTATACAAATGTGAATATATGTGGCGCGTGCTTTGAGGCTATAAACCGAACGATTTATGCATTTTATAATGCCTAATTGATTTGCGGAACAGTTAGTAGTTGTTTCTTTGGCTCCCGCTGGACACCCAAAATACAAACTGTTGAACAACTACTCAATTTGTCAACCAAATAAAGTTGAGTTTTGTTTGGTTTTATATACTTATTTAAGTTTTGTCTGGTTTTTTGGGTATTTCTTATGTGGAGGGAATGCGCGTGCGTTGAAAATTTGAAATGGGCTGCGTGCTCGACTTGCCAAATAATTTGAATTGAACGCAAGCCTTGGTGACAGCCGCGTGGCCTAAATAAGAAAACAGTGCAAAGTACTCAAAAACACAAAAAAGAAAAGACAATGAAAACGAAAACAAAATTAAATATAAATAAAAAATAATTAAGAGTGCTCGGAGATACCCTAAGAATATGACATGCCCATATAAAATGAGTATCTTTCTAGTTATAAAAGTATTTTGTGATATATTCGAAGCCTGAGCGGGAGAGAGAGAGGAGACAGACAGACACTCCAAGCTTGACTCATGTGTCAGTCGTATCTCTCTCGTATTCAATACTCATCCTTATCATACTTTATACCTTAATTCACGCCTCCTTCTGCTCGATACATACAATTTAACCAAAGTAATGTACCCTCTTAAACCTTTTTCATTGAGTTTAAGACAAAAAATAATATAAACAAAAAGCAACAACACGTTCAAGTTTTTGGCTAATAAATAATAAGTTTATGGTTTTTTTTTTTTTTTCATTTTGGTTTTTAGCAAAATTATTCAAATGATTGCAGCAACCTTTTTTTTTGGGCTTTTCATGGCTAAGTTTCACTGTGACCATAAAATGTTTTGTTTTGACTATTAAATTTAAAGTAAAGATGTTTTCGTGAAGAAGCAGAGCGTCTGGACAACTTTCTATTAGACTGGATTTTAGGTTTAAGTACAGCGACATAAAAACCAGCTTTGACACGAATTGAAAAGTTTGAGAGTCAAGTTCTCAGCTCTAGTAGTAGAAGAGAATAGAGACTGCTTTGCCTTGGCCTGGGAACTGAGCTGAGGCTACGCTGTGGCTGCATAATTTTGCTGGCATAATTGCATTCAGTAATGCCCTGTATTAACTCTTTTATTATAGAGCACAGAACACAATGCCTCTGAAAGAGAGGCAGAGAGAGGGCGAGAGACAGATCGGGAGAGATCCAGTTATGTGGCTTAAACAACGGTTTCTGCGCTGGAGTCTGTGCGATTCTTGATTCCTTGCTTGATGCACCCAGCGAAGGTCGCACTTAACTGTCCAGCCAAAGCCAGGCCCAGTTCCGCTAGCTGTATATAAATAGGTTTCAAGGTTATTGCATATAGTTGAACTCTTTGGCGCATGCCAGGCCTATTATATTATTATTGTTGTTGTTGTTGTAGTTGTAGCTGGGGCCTGAACTGCCTCAGCTGCATCGATTTGTCGACTTTCAATTAATGCCATTCAAACTGTGTGTGTGTTTTGAGTTTCTTGATCGTTCATTGCGTATGCGTCGCTGCATTCCTAGTTGAAACCATAAATCTTCGATCAATTCGAATTGATTGTTTCAATATGTCACAGCTGAAATAACTGTAAATGACTGCAATATAACAATACTCTTTATAGCAGATGCGCTAAAAATAGTCTGAAAGGACCCCAGAAGGCAGTCGCCTGTGGTGTAGTTAATTTGCTGTAAACTGCTTAAGCTGCAAACTTGATGGAATTCTAGAAATGTGTATATAAAACTTTCGTTTTACAGTGGTAATTTAATAAGAATGTGAATGGATTAAGGGCGCAATCGGATATTGAGAAACAGTTCCGAATATTGCAGAGCCAAACTTTCTAAGCATGTTCCACATTCACTGCTTATTCAATTTGAATAAGAATTTTAACATATTGACAATTCGCAGAATAGTTCATTCATTGAACCATAATTGAGTTCGTGTCTTAAGTCTTTTATTTCTATTTTCTTTTTTGCTGTTAGGCTTATTGCTTGTTTCAATCAGCATTCGTCACGCCAATTGGCACTGCTAAGCTCTTACATTTTGTCTACCCACACGCGTTCGCGTCTTAAGTCGTTCGTTTTGTTCTGCCCAGTTGAGTCGTAAGTGCGTCGGTGATGATGATGATGCTGCTGCTCAGTCAATCAAGCCAATTAATTAATCAATGTCGAAATGTCGAATGAACAGTAGCACTTGGGACTTTGCTGTCAGCGGTGTCAGCGATGTCAGCGATGTCAGCGGTTCACACAGACATAAAAACTGTGCAAAAAAACGTGCTTTAGTTATGCTCATCTAACATGATCCTAATCATGATCCCAAGCTGTGAATGTCAATGTTTTGGGTGGCTTTGACAGACACAGGTAAAGAGCAACAGATGCTCGCCCATTGATAAGACGCAGCCAAGGCATTTGCGTACGTGCCCCCTTTTTAAGCGAGTTTCTCTTAAGCATTTGCTCTTTCACTCACTGCCACACACGCGCTCTCTCTGTCTCTCTCTCGCTCTCTCTTGTGACTGGCCATGGTCAGGTTGAACACATTTCTTTGCTGTTCGCTTTGCATGGCTAATGGAAATGTTATAAAACAGCCAAGCTGTGCCCAGGCACAATTCAGTTCATCTTCAGTCGTTGCCTGCTTGAGTTCTTAAAGGTGCGTCAAGTGTAGTTTTTTTCTGGCTCAAGAACGAAAGCTTGAAGCCAAGTGCGTGTGCTCCTTGAAGCAGCTAAAAAAACGTTTACAAAAAATATATTTAACAAAAAACCATTAAACAACTTGGCAGAGTTGGCATTTAACTTAAGTGTGTGTGTGATTGTGTTTCCTGTATCTGATTAAAGCTCGATTCTACGCTTGATAACACAGCGCCTTTTGTCTCTGTTCGCAGTTCAAGGATATAACTCAAGGCTAGCCTGCGCCGGCGTTGACAACGAGCAAAAAAAAAAAATCAAAAAAGAAATAATTTACAAAGATTGTTAAGCGCAAAAATGCGTCTCATTGTGGTAAGTACTTATGGCCAAAACCGCTTAATAAATTTCAACATAGAGTGAAAAAAAAAACTAGTTTAATTCTGTTTCAATTTTGCTGCTGTCTTCTGTGCTATATGTGACCGCAATTAATCATTTATTAGCGTCGCTGGTCATTAACTGGCGCAAGTTCGTGCCTTAAGTCTTTCTGTGCCTTTTTTCGTATTTCGTATTTAATTTGCGTTTACACTCAGCTCTAAACTTTCACTGGCTGATGCTTCTTGCCAAGATTCTTTTTGCTACCAAGTTGAGTTAGCTGTGAAATCAGTCTGAGTTTCTTTTGGCCCATATGCAAATATCTGGCTCAGCCGCTCATCAGAAAACCAATTTGCTAATTGAAAATAAAAATGGAGGAATAAAGGGCAAAAAACTGAAAAAGCAGTTTAGAAGACTTTTGTTAAATTGACTTTATATGTATACTAAAAGAGATATACATATGCAAAT